ACTATATATACACTATATACATATACATATATATATATACATATATATATATATATATATATACATACATACATATATATATATATAAATATATATATGTTAATACAACTATATATATATACAACAGCAACTGAGAGATATTTTTATATCACATGAAAGTACATATATATATATATATATTTATATATATATATCTATATAAGTACTTGCATGTGGTATAAAAATATCTCTCAGTTGCTGTTGATATTGAATAGCTCACAAGAAAGGTAGATATATAGAGGGCGCCACATTTATAGAGTTTGGCGACGGATGTGCGAAGCTTCATGCAACAATTTCCTTTGAGTTCTTATACGGCCTTCTGAAACGTTTGTCGGTTCGTTCAACTTGCGCATATCAATTGATAGTGTGTGTGTATATTATATATACGGTACTATTTTACCCTACTCGTCCGCCGGTGCCCTATTAATTTTGTGATATTGTCATGCACCCCTGTAGCACTCCGGTGAGGGTAAACTCAAATTTACACGATCACGAAGAGGCTGTCATTCGAGGCCTGGCTCCACACAAGTTGGCGGCGCTACAGAGAAAAATGCGTGGCTACAGACAGGTACTTTGATCTCATTTTCAACATTGTATCTTATGTTATATTTTTTTTCTTATGAAGATAACTGGCATGATAATACAGTATTAATTGTACAGCCTGCCGGTGGATACTAACATTCATTTTACTTCGACTCTGGCAGGGAATATCGTCCGACAGTTTCGCAGTGTCCGAGCGGCTGTCGGACTCAAATCATGCGCCATCAGGTAGTGTTACCATGTCGCCATCCGTGTTGACCAACTGTACATCAGAAGTGTATGCGCGCCAACTTATGACCTCTCAGGTTGACGAGAATACCGTAGTTGAAGACAATCCGCTGCAGGAACGCTCACGGCAACCTCAGCTGGATGTACAACGTAGCACTACAAACGTGTTCACTAAAGTGGGTGCTGAAGTGGGAACAGAAGCCTCTAATAGCGAAGATTCTGGAATACGCCCTTGTCAGGCGCCGACCGCGACCCAATTACATCAGCCTCGGACTGAAGAGTCCAATTCAGGATCTACACCCATGAATTGTGCGAACGAATCTGTGAATAATACCGACTCGAGTGTAAAGCGATCTAGCAATACAGGGTGCTGCGAGCGCACATGCACATCTGCCAAGAAACTGCGCGTGGATGAGAAAGACTCGAACAGTCAGAAATACGCCACACTCCGTGCTGGTACGTTCCACCGCGCATTGGACTGGCGATTGAGCAGATATATACGTCTCTATGTCAACAAAATTAATGATGTTCCAGTGATTTAGTCAAGATTATAATGTATATACTTATCGTATCTTATTCTTCTTAAAAACGAGCAGGGCCGGTGCGTGCGCTCCAACGGATATCTAGTGCAAAAAAGAGCTCACCTGCGAAGTCAAAGAACTCGAGCATTAAAAGCTATTTCTCTACCAAAGCAACGAAATACGAGAATGGTCTACCAGGTCCGTCTGCTAGCTTGTACTCATTCTCATCACTTTATATGGAGAAAACCCTTAGTATTAAAATTTTTCTTTCCCTTATTACCAGTACATGACGTTCCAAATATCTTACAAGTATCGTTCTCTTGCATTTTCCAGCGCCTGAAGTGGCTGCATCAACGAGGGAGCGGCACACACCGCTTCGACTGAATGTCAAGGCGGACCACTGCAAAGCAAACTCCAGAACTACGGCACAACCCGTACCTGAATCGTGCGGAGCCAAAACGCGGCCTGCATTACATCCTATCACTCCCGAGGGAAAGCTTCCGCCTTGTAGACAGACGGCTCCCAGTAGCTGCCCTAAGCTTGGATCTGGAGCTACTCCCTCGAGCACAGCCATACAACACCCGCTTCATTCGTCGTCACTGGGTGGAAGTGCGATGGAGATCAATGTTAAGGGACTTCAGGACGAACTGAAGGAAGCTAGAGATTTGCAAAAGTATCTGGCGGGCAAGCTGGAAACTTCTAGAATGAATGAACGGGCGATAAACAACAAATTCGACAAATCAAGTAAGTCTAGAATATAGAAGGAAAGAAACAAATTTTACTGCTTGGTGCGTTTATCATTTGATTTATCAAGTTTCGTTGTTGTTTTCTAATCATCTTGTCTCGGTAATGCTTGCGCTGCTATACAGAGCATATGCTTGTGAAGCTGTTCAGAGATGATGTGATCCAAAGAAGGAAGCGGATTCGCGAAATTACAGAAGCGAATAACTTGAGGCTTGGATCATACCAGCCCCGCCGACACGGACATGATTTTGTTGAAGCTTGGGTAGACGGAACTGCTGCCAAGGATATGATGAAACGTCTGGACGAAATTAGGAAAGGTAGGGTGGCGTTGGAAGAAGAATTTCGACAACTACAAGCAGCAAAGGACGCCACGGAAAGGAACAGTTCGGACACCAGCTTTGACTCACAGCATGAAAACGAGGAGAATGTTGACATGAACATGAACTCGAACACAACCAATAGTAAGGAACAAGTTGGGTCAAAGACCACAAAAAGTGAATTTGCCGTGCCTTGCAGGACCGGCAATTTACAGACACAGTGCACTCGCGACAACGACGAAGCCTTCCACAGAAAGAAAGAGATTCTGCACATCCGCGGAGATAATTTGAACATGAAACAACAAATTCTGAATAGCGAGCACAAACAATTAGAGAAAGAACGGAATCTTCATTCTCGGCAAATCAAGCGGATTCGGGACGAGGATAAGTCTGTGTATAAGAACTGCCCCTTACTACACAACCGGTACTTATTGTTAGAATTACTAGGCAAGGGCGGTTTCAGTGAAGTGTACAAAGCATTTGACTTGGACGAAATGCGCTATGTCGCCTGCAAGATCCACTCGCTGGTATCGCAGTGGTCCGAAGAGAAGAAGTACAACTACAGCAGGCACGCAACACGGGAGTATGAAATACACAAGGAGTTGAAGCATCCGAATATAGTACAGCTCTACGACAAGTTTGTCATAAAGGAAGATACATTTTGTACCGTTTTGGAGTTCTGCGACGGCAACGATCTCGATTTTCACCTCAAACAACGTCCAGCATTACCAGAGAGGGAGGCCAAGTCAATCATAGTGCAGCTATTCGATGCATTACAATATCTCAACGAACTGGAGCCGAGAGTGGTTCACTACGATTTGAAGCCAGCGAATCTCATGTATTGCAACGGGGTTGTGAAGATCACCGATTTTGGACTCTCGAAAAGTATGCAGTACAAATGTTCAGACGGCATTACTCTTTATTTATTTTATCGGCGTTGGCATTTTATGCCGCGCTTCCTGCACGCGCAAAAGGAGAGCTGGTGCCCTTCGTATCACTTACACTTTATTGTATAATCGCTCCGTTCTGCAAACAGTAATGGAAGCACAAATGAGCGATGACAGTGAGATGGAGCTCACATCCCAATTTGCTGGAACCTACTGGTAAGTATTCACTTGGGTTTTTTTGTCCGTATTTTCTCTATCGCCTACCTTCAACATTTCCAATTCAGTTTCTAATGAGTAACACCTGCATGCTTTCACTCTAGGTACTTACCTCCGGAAGTCTTTGTCACGGGTCACTTCACACCGCGCATAAATTCTAAGGTAGATGTATGGTCAGCCGGGTGTATTTTCTACCAGATGCTATACGGGAAGAGACCCTTTGGGCACGAACTATCACAGGTAAGGTTATAATCTGAGCGAGAAATTTAGTTTGTGTGTTTGCTCGAATTTTGGTCGCACACGCCCGGCTAGATCGCACCTTTACGAACAAATTAAATATTCAACTTACTTATAGAGATTCATACTGCCAATATCTTTCATAGCAAAAAATTCTGCGAGAACAAGTGATACTGAAGGCCCGTCAAGTAGAATTTCCAAAGCGAGACATAAGTCAAGATACGAAGGTATGGTGTACATCTTTATTTTATCCTGTGTTAGATGTGTTGACATCTATTCAACCTCTCGTCGAGTATTGCACAATGTGCTTTTGCCCCTCGGGTAGTCAAGGGGTACGCTAAATCCACTGGGCCAACTAACTGAGCGAATATATCACACTCAACAGGATTTCATAAGTATGTGCCTCACATACGACAAGGACGACAGACCTGATGCCCTGACAGTCTGGATGAATCCCTATCTACACTCCACGTATAAATCCTGAGGCATCTACCTGCGCTGACTGAAGCGCCGCCAGTGTCACCACTCCATTCTTGACTACAGCTAACACGAGCTGTGACACCCGTAGACCGATTTCGAGGATTCCAATTATCAGCCGAGTAGGATTTACTTCTAGTCCCCGTTCAAAGTATAAGACCCAATCAGTACAAACATGTTTGCCTAAAAACGGAAAGATCCACTTCCATAATGTGGCTAAACGATCTTTGTTAAGACTCAGTGGGACTAGTGGACTACAGCAATGAACCAATGTATCTTCACCTGTTGAAAAACTTTGCCGCCCAGCTGCTGGCAGATTTAAATAGGGGGGCTCTAGGCTTAAAAATCCCACACGCGTCCTCTAAGTAAAGGTTTTGGATAACAAACATGCACCTCGTCTACTAGAGAGGAATGTGACTAAGCAATCACAGCTTGTAAGACTAAATAAAATAACGTCACTAGACAACACATACGCACGTGTACTTGCGAGTATTCTTATGATTGTGGAATCTGGGACAAGACGTACGGACTTGATGTTATTAGCGGCTCCAATTCCTGCGCTGAGCAATATGCTTAGTAGCTGTCTCAGTGAGTACAAGTGATTATTGTAACTGACAAACCATTGTATGGCGGTATAGCGTCGCCAAGCAGTACTAGCTTGCGCATCTGAGCTATGAACAGAGGTCCTTTTGTGTTTGTAGCATCTGAAATTTTCAAGAGCGATGCACTCACATGAAGACTGACTACATAGCTGTCTTGGATGTGCAAAGTGCTTGTTCACACACCTATCTCTTGCGCGCCTCCAAACAAAATGAACGAATTCGTAAAGGCTGATTGTACGTTCTGCCTATCTCTCCCACAATCAATCGAAGCCGCCCTGACGTAAAATTCTCTTTTCCTCCTCCACATAGTTCTTCCCTCTACACGAAGTGTTCATGGTATGTCAAACAAACAAAGTTTAGTAAATGACTCTCAGGAGCATTACAAGGTGTACGGGTTCGATAAATAATCGTAGCGGAGGCAAAACACTTCCAGCGTCCTTATCTCATACGCGTTCAAAGATTTAGTATACTTACATAGATCGTTTTTGTTTTTTGTTTTCCGGACAGAGCACACGAGCCACCCATACCTGGAGGCCATCCCTTGGTCACGTTTCCGCTTTTCCCTTTGTTGAAATGTCAGAACTTCCTCACTTTCTTGTATTCGCTTCTTGCTCGTCTCCAAAATACTAGAGGCTTGACTAACACTACTGGCAGTCTGACTGGTACTCGCATTGTGGGTCACATTGGTATCGGAGCTTATTTGTGCTGTCCCTCTGAGCTTTCGGGGGACGTTTTTCTCGGCCGAAGATTTGGGAAGCACTGTGATATCCTTCATAAAATTTAAAGGGAGTTGTCTTAGCTATGCGCCAAATATACAGCTATTTAATACGTTCATGTGTTCCATTAAATACTGCGAGTACAAGATAGAAAAATAACTCTGCGAACGTTGAGGGTGCAAGACAGATTGTGACTTGTTCCAAGGAAAACATACGGTAAAGCATATAAAGAAAATCAGCACAATACTATCCTTAAATTTGCCATAGAATGTATGAGTGCGTGCGTGTGATTATTTAAACATAAATCACTTCTAAAATGGTCATAAAACGTCAGCATAGAAATCAGAGCAATCATATATATATATATATATATATATATTTATATATGTGTGTGTT